AGCCCTTTTTATGGCATTTTCCATCACTTTGGCCAAAACTTCCGGCGATAGGTCCTCACATCGTTGTATATATATTATCTTTAAGAGTTGAACGAGTCTGAGGCTTGTTGACATAAACCCGCGACTTCAAAAAGCCCCACAAAAAGATGACTGTAGCGGTAAAAACAGCGATCTTTCTGGCCAGTGAAAATCGCCAAAACGGGAGATTAGGCACTCGGGAAATGCATCCTTAAGCACATCGATTGTGGCACGTGCAGTGTGCACCGTTGCACCATCTTGTTGGAATCACATGTTTTCCAGTACCAACTCATCAAGTTGCGGCAAAAAGATCATTGTTTTATAGAGCTCATCATTCACAGTAGCCGTTTGGCCCGCGACGTCATCAGAAAAAAAGGCGTCTTCGATGATTCCTCCAGCGAAAACAGCACACAGCACAAGTCACTATAGACTTTGTGCGGGTGTAATGGCTCTTCGTGGAGCGGATTTCAATGTCCAATAAACATGAAGTTTGCTTATATACGTACCCGTTAAGATGGAAATGTACATCATTCATTATTATTTTTGATGAAGAATAATCTTCTTCTTTGTGGTGGTTATGGATGGCTTGATCATATGTTAGACCCGACTGCGGGACAGCAGCTAACAGCTGATGCACCATTTGGACTTTTTACGGAAACATCTTCAAATCTTGTACCAAAATACGCAGTAATGACAACGGCGCTTCCATGACATCCTTGGCTACAGCAGCAACATTCTCTGCAGAAAGCATACTCCGGTGTTTGCCACGCCTGGCAGCATCTTTCGTTGTACCAGGGTGAGACGAGCGGGTAAACGTCGCAGTGTTTCACCAGCAGGCGTTGAACGGCCAGGAAATCTGGGACGAAATTCACGTTGTGCCATAGTCACCGACCGATTATTGGTATTGGTTGCGAGACACTTATAGCCATGATGTACCTCCCTTCAAGTTGGGGAGCGCAGACCTAGATATAAATGTTCAAACCGATTTTCACTGTTAATAATTTTTAATATGCAAACATGTAACTAAAAAACCAGAAATGCCTAAAGCTCTCTGAAAACATTCTGGATGTCGAAGATCAGAGGTTATCGATTTGATCCATTATTTGTTCCAAATTTCAATGCTCATATTTCATATTGTAGCTTCTTTCTAGATTTCAACCGTGCCCTAGTGTAATATTTATATCCTTAAATCTCTCACTTCCGGCAGCATCTCCTAAGTTGTGAAAAATTTGTAGCCATTGTTTTCACTTGTTGATTTGCATGAAAATATGCTTCTATCCTTATTGGCCAACTCTTCAAGAATGTGCAATCATTATAAATCTCCTTCATATTGCAAGTAGTCATTAAGTGTTAAGCGTATTGGAGAACAAGTGACCTCGGAGTATTGCATCGAGATGACTTTCACATCTTATCCGCTTGCGAGCAGATTATTGCAAGCATGTGCAAACATTTTACACATGCTCATCTCCAGTAATGACGTCGAGAGTAGTGCTTGCCAGATTTACAGTTGCCACCGACAATTCCATGGAATGCACTCAGCACTGTGTGCTGAGCTGTGGTGGTGGTGCTTGCCATGCTGTTGGCATTTTACCTGGTTCCCTTTGCATCTACGTTTGCCACGTCATAGTGACGTTGTCGCGACTTAACAAAGACTGATGATGGGAGGATGTGCTCTTGCATTAACGTAACTGTTTGTCATTGTGATTGCAGGAGTAGTCTGTGACGGGATTCCACATACACATATATAAACTGACGTGTGTGAGTGTGTATGTGGATAAAACAAGATTTGTATTCGCTAGCGGTTATCACTGAATATATCTGCGAGAATGTGTGTAAATGTGCCACAATCATTCATTTATGCATATCATTTGCATAATGGTTTGTATGGGCAAACACTCACACACATACACACCTTGCACACATACACAACAAAAGCAAGGCGGCATATGTGTGAGTGTTCATCTAAATGGTGTTTGTTTATTGGGTTGTAAAGACAGTCGATTTAAATGACTGCGAAATGGCTTGTTGTATACCATGATATTGCCCCGAATTGAAATCTAACACCTGATAGCTAATAAGAGGATTTTGAAAGAGTTACCCTATTTAAGTATGGTTGGTATTAGTTTTTGAATTTGAATAAAGAATTTCGTATACATCTATTCCACTAATTTTTCTGTTCATTAAAATCATTCATAAATATGTATTTCACCTCCATTAAATGCGTTGACAGGTAAAACGGCCCATGTTAATGTATATCGCAGAAATATACAATATAAATAAAAATATGTACATGTGTTCATGGTGCTGCTGGCTGAATTGCAATATACAACTGGAAGAGCAGGCATATCCAATCTATATGCCAGAGAAAATTTTCAATTTAAATTCTGTTTCGATGAAAGCGCTGATGGGTGTGATTTTATTTATAATGTCAGTTTGTTTGTATTTTTTTGGGAGGGGATACGAAATATTAATTGAATTCATCCAATTCGCTTCAACGAACAAGAGATTATTATTCGTATAGCCTGAACAAGGAATTATTTTTAATAACTATTTTCAAAGACTCCACTTTTTTATGTTTTTAAGTTTTCAAATAAATTTTATTTCATTCAAAATTGTAGAAAAAACATGTAACACTACTCTTTTCAATATACTACAATATAGTACATGCTAACAATGTCCCCACTCCTCCTTCATTCTCCACCATTTTTTCAATCTGTTTCGTTTCTATTTCTGTTTTAATTTTTTTAATATCCATTGGAGAATTGCTCTGCACAAGGATTCTCCCTGCAATTGTCAATAATTGCAGAACATTGTTGCACTTTATTGTGCCGTGGAATGGACGTGAATGGGGCAAAGTTATTCGTTCTGGGGAAGTCGTTTCAAATGCAATTATAACCACATTATTGCGGTCGTTTAGCATTCGTGGTTATTGCCATCAACCCCTTTCGACTGACCAACTGTGTGTTTAGATGGAAAAAATCGTACTTTGTTGAGAAGAAGAAGGAGAACAGCATAAGGGAGACACGACAATATAGATAACAAGTAAAGAAAGTCGTAAAGTCGGGCGGGGCCGACTTTATGATACCCTACACCACTTTGCTAATTTAGTAGAGCTCCGCATAATAATTAAAAGTTTTTATTGGAGAATTCAATCATACACTATGATTATAATTATAATTTAAATTTCAAAGGTACTAAATTTGTATCTTTTAAATTCGGACTTGAAATGTCCATTTGGTGCGAAATTAATTTGAAATCGGATAAAATATATATGGGAACTATATCCAAATCGGAACCGATCTCGATAAAATTTGGCAAAGATATTTCTGAGCTGTATTTGATATAATTCCCTGAATATCGTAGTTTCGGAGTGCATATTACGGCTGTGGGTAACAAATATATCAAATCGGATGAACAGTATATATGGGAGCTATAGCTATATCTGAACCGATCTTCACCAAATTTGACATACTAGCTTCTAGAATCAATTCGGTCGTAAGTGCCAAATTTCATCCAATTTGGCAAATATTAGACGTTTGGTGCACAATAAAAAGTAAATCGGACGAAGTTATATATGGGAGCTATATACAAATCTGAACCGATCTCGATAAAATTTAGCAAATGTATTTCTGGACTGTATTTGATATATTTCCCCAAATATTGTTGTTACAGAGTGCATATTACGGCTACGGAGGACAAAAATAACAAATCGGATGAACAATATATATGGGAGCTATAGCTATATCTGAACCGATTTCGATCAAATTTAGCACACTTATTTTCAAGTCCAATCTGATCGTACGTGCAAAATTTCATACTATTCGGACTGATATTACACGTTTAGTGCACAATTAAAGGCAAATCGGACGAAGATATATATGGGAGCTATATCTAAATTTTGACCGATTATCTCCAATTTCAATAGGGTTCGTCCTTGGGCCAAACAAGTGATTTGTGCAAAATTTCATCTGGATAGGGCAATAAATGCGAACTGTACTTTGTTTACAAAAATACATGGACAGACGGACGGACGGACGGACGGACGGACGGACGGACAGACGGACGGACGGACATGCATAAATCGACTCAGAATGTGATTCTATGCAGATCATCAAAAGGAACTATGGGTCTATCTCGTTTCCTTTTGCCTGTTACAAACAAATGCACAAAGACATAATACCCTGACCACCTTGTGGTGTAGGGTATAAAAACGAGTAGAAAACAAGACGACTGGGAATTTTAAATTGTAAACAAATATTGTTAGGGAGCGGAACGTTGCTGAACGTACACCGAGTGATGCGGCCAAGAAGCAGAAATGTGAAAGATTTTATGTTTATTTACTTTTTAGAAAATTTTGTAGTTTTCGTTTTAATCATGAACAAAGGTAAAGTTGTGAGTACTTTTGGTTGGGTCAAATTTACAATTTGATTTTGGAAGTTTTGCAAATAATTTAAATATATCTTTTTTTGATAATTGGAAGCATTGCTTGCCGTGTGTAATTTTTTGTGTATTAGATTTTATATGCAAGTTTGTCTTCCTTGATGGAATTTGATTTCATTATTTCCTCGAGATAAGTAAAGATAATATAACCACATCGCTTCGTCTGTTATAAACATTCGAGCATATTTTTGGATTGTTTATAATGTCTAATTATAAGCTTGTTTTCATAAATTGCGATAATATTAAATTTTTGTAACACATAGGTAAAAACATTTTCCAAGGAGTATCGTTTTGTAATTGCCGCCTTTACAGTATTCTGCCAACTCTCCGAGTACTAATGAGCATAGGATTTCGTCCTAGTGCCAAAAGCCCTCTCTGTTACTTTCATCACTGCAACGCATACAGTAAGCACATTTAAAGTTTTTTCTACAAAAAGGATAATTTTTGGATACTGTAAAACTTCTTCTTACTCCTCAGCAAGCCTACATTATTCAGTATCATCATCTCCATCCGGATGTTAAAGTGACCCACTATAAATATATGATGAGTCGGTTCTTGAAATGTCTTAAATTAATTAAATTTTGCCAATTCCAAAATTTAGAGAGTTAACTTATTCTATTAGTCGTGCGATAATGACATTTCTAAGTGCCCAATGCTTACGTCGTTAGACTCAGATCGGGGTCTAAATAATTGGACTTAGCACAAATAGTGTAACATATAGAAATACACAGTAGTATTTACACCCCTTTAGACCATACCTTCATTCAAAAATTGCCTGAAGCTTAATCTCCGAGGGTCCTAAAATCGTTGTAAGGCCATACGTCTCTGTTGGCAATATGATAAGCTGTGACACACAGAGCTGCTTGTTCCTCTACAAAGAAACTTAATGACCATACTTTTAGAGTGATGTTCCTTTTTGATCTCATGACCTACATAGTTTCTGTTCAACTAGTGCCACCGGCATGGTTTGTCATCTAGAATGTGCGACATAAATAATTGAGGTCCTAGGTTGTTAGCAAATAGTTCCGAGGTACTTGGTGTTCCGAAGATATCCCTCAGAGAGGCGCCATCCTGCGTTAACAGCAATCAAATAATCCATTTGCCTGTGAAAAACTCTGTTTTAGATAGATCTACTTCATCAATGCGCAAACTGTGCTTTGGTATTGATTTCTCTTACGCTCGTTTGTGGTATCTTGACCAACAGGAAAATACCCGTTTTTCTTAATTTTTGGAAATAATTGGTGTTTTTTCACCACACTTGATTAACTTTTGACTTCTAATCATTAAAAATAGTAAACACGTTGCAAACATCTGCTTTTGGGACTTCAAAATTTTCCTTACCCCTTTGAATATTTCATTTGCTATTGAACATTTAATTATCTCGGTGTATGTATATGTGCCAACGATACTGGCAAGACTAATTGTAACCAAAGGATTATTCTACTCGTTTGAATTGGGGTTTAAATTATTCAGTTATTACCAATCAATTAAATCATTTTTGGCTTTTAAATTGCTCGGCCATTTTAAAGTAGATTCCCTAAACTTGCTATCGGTTACCTAATGACTTGAGTTAATCGTCTTTGCCCAATGTTTTCATGAAAGAAACGAAACTTGTAATTAAAAGTAATTTATTAATGGTGTTTTGATAAATTGAGGGAAGTATCCTACCAAGGGGAAGTGGTTTCCTCAAAAGTGTCTTAAGAGGCAATGAGTTCTTTTACTTAAAGTTATTGTATATTGCATCGAGAAATGGTGTGGGGACCCTTTAAATTATAATATATGCCCATGGTGGTTCCTTCCCCCACTCAACAAATCCTTTCGTCAATTATATAAATATCAGCAACATAAATATGAAATTCATATTCGGACGCGATTCCTTCAACAGTTCGGCAACATAAGTACCAACATGGCATTCGAGAACTTCTACCAAACGAACAGCGTGGAAAATTTTAAAATGTTCTGGTTTCTATGGCGTCTTTTGGGTTTCAGGGGATTCCAGAATAAATACGCCAACATCGTACACAATTTGGTCTTGCATGTTGCCATTAGTTTTTGGTATCCAATGCACCTGACCCTGGGCCTGTTAAGTTTGCCTAACCAGGGTGAAATTTTCAAAAATCTGTCCATAACCATCACCTGCATTGTGTGCAGCATGAAACAGCTTTTCCTGCGCTGGAAGATTCGACAGATGCACGACATTGAGATGTTATTTCTGGAATTGGATGCCAGTGTTGAGAGTCGGCAAGAGTATCACTTTTTCACCAACGGACCCAGAAAGCACGCCCAGTGGATTACCAAATTGTACTGTACATGTTACATGGGCGCCAATGTTGCGGCCATAACGATGGTGATGCTGGACTCGCAGAGAAGACTTATGTATCCGGCTTGGTTCCCGTTTGATTGGAGTTCTTCTTCGCAGGTTTACTGGGCGGTGTTGATGTATCAGTTTATGGGTGTCACCACCCAAATCGTTCAGAATTTGGTGAATGATGCTCCGGCAGGGGTGCTGCTTTGTTTGATCAGTGGCCATGTCCGTTTGTTGGGCATGCGAGTGTCCAGAATTGGCCATGACTCGAAGAAAACTGAAAATGAGAATCTTGCGGATTTGGGAAAGTGTGTCGAAGACCATAAAAGACTCATTAAGTATATAGAATAGAGAGGCTAGCATCAGAATTTCTCAGAAATATTGTTTTGGTTTCAGGTTATTTAAGCTGGTCGAAGACACCCAGTCTTATGTGCAGTTGATTTTGTACATTTCCGGCGGACTCAACATTTGTGTCGCCGTCGTCTATTTGATATTCTTCGTCGAAAGTTTGACAGCATATCTCTATTATTCCGCGTTCATTCTGGCAATTACCATCGAAATATATCCGAGCTACTACTACGGCAGCAGTTGCCAACAGGAATTCAACGATCTAAGCTATGCCATATTCTGCAGCAATTGGTTGGAGCAACCAAAGCGTTTCCACAAAAACATGAGAATTTTTGTGGAGAGCACATTGCCCAAAGTCACGATGACGGCTGGAGGAATTGTAAGGATGCAAATCGAAAATTTCTTTGCCATTTGCAAAATGGCTTATTCTTTGTTTACTCTGATCAGAAGTATTAAATAGATGTGACTAAGAGATAAATCAGTTACAATTTTGAAACTATCTAATTGCACAATTGTAGTAGAATGCACCATGAATTCACTTGGATATTTAAGTGTTGGAAAATTACGAATCAACATTAATCAGTCATGTTATGCACATTAAATGGCATATGGGATAGAAAGCTTTCAATGCAGTTAAGGTGTTTTTTATTTTTACATTAACAAATATCCACTCCCAGTACAAAAATATTATTATTTTAGCAAGTGTATGTCGCACGTATTAGCTATATTTTGACCGTCTAAAACGCAGTTAAATAAGTATTTTTTATCGACTTTGGTCAGTAAAAGCTTTTATATAAGTACTTGTACTTGACAACCCAATTCGTGCGAAACGTTATTGGGAAAATAATAGGTTGCTAAACAGATCTGTAGTGAGTATTTCTTTTGCTGCGCTTTCATGCAATTACTACATGCGAACTTGGTTGCTTCCATTTATCATTTGTATTTTCAAGTTTCCAAGTCCATGTGGGATTAGTAATAAGAAATGCTGTCATAAATTCAAAATTGTTAGTGAAACTTATCCATTTATGTATAGTTTACAATTTTTGTGTATCCGTACCTTTTTTACTCCTTGAGAGAACTACTTTGCCCAAAGTGTACGAAAACGGAAAAGTGAAAATGTCAAAATGTCCATCAAACAATTTAAAAGTATCAGGCAATGTTCGATAAATTAAATATATTTCGACTTCTATTATGATTATTCAAATGGTTGACCCTCTATGGAGTAGGTTCCTAAATAAATATGATATAAATATTGCGACTTGCCAGGTTTGGACTATATCAAATACTTCTTTCACTTTATATGACATATATGATAATTTTTAGATGTGGGCGAGGTACCAGATATAGTCGACCGAAGTATTACATTCTCTTAGTTCATCTAATACATCGAATCGAACATTTGTATCCAATTCTATAAGAAATCACAAATTCCATATTCATCTCAGGTTTCTGGTTAAGAAAAATATTTGTTTCGCAAGTTATGACAGATAAAATTGTTGAAAATTGTGACCCTTTGTGGGTAAGGTACCAGAAGGGGTTCGCAGATATATGACATCTTCACAACAGATCATGTTTGGATGTGTGAAATTTGAAAAGATTTGGATACTTATTTTACGTTTTGTGATCGTTTGTTTTTCGAAATTTTGAGCACTTTGTGGGGGAGGTACCAGAAGGAGTGCACCCGATACATCCCATCTTCACAGCATATCTTGTGTTAGAGGAAATAACAGGTTGTGTGAAATGTCAAGAGAGCCTGATGCTTATTTCGTATTTTGTAATCGTTTGGAACCTTTGTGTGGGCGGTATCAGAAGGAATTGTCTGATATCTATCATCTTTATAACAGACCTAGTGTTGATAGAAATAGATTGAGATGTGGCAAGTTTGAATGGAATCGGATATTAATTTCGCGTTTTTCGAGCTTTTTGGATATTCAAAATGGATAATATGGACCGATATACCCTATCTTCAAACCAGATCTTGGGTTAATAAAAATATTGTGATGTGTGAAATTCGAAGACAATCGGACTCTTACAACAGAGATATAATTATTCAAAATTTTGACCCTCTGTGGGGGAGGTACTTGTTGGAGTGAACCGATATTTTCCATTTTTACATCTGACCTAGCAGTGATGCAAATATTGTTGAAGCGAAATCGAATTATACTTTCTTTTTTTATCCGATATTGCCCATCTCCTAACTTGACCTAAGGTTGACAATAATATTAAGATGTACCAAGTTTGAATCAAATCGGATACTCCCTTCGAGAGTTAACGTGCGCACCAACTAGCCAAACAGACAGACGGACGGACATCCCTAGATCGAGTCCCGTACCTGTCCTGAAACGGATTTGGAAAGAGATCTAGGGTCCAAAACGTTATTTCGATGAGGCCCTATCAAATGATGTGTACCCTCTGTAGCCATTACAATAGTTTTTCGGAACCGAAATGGATTTCTAGTAAACAATTATAAACATCAAATTATAAAACTGGTAATAATTACATCGTTAAGGGCTCTGAAATGGATCTGAAAAGTAAAACACCCATTGCTCAATATTGTAAGCTCGAGTTAAAACTTTCCGCACGATGTTTCCGATACATTTAATGTTCTGATTTCTTCTCATAAGTCGGAGTAGGTTTTTTTGTATTATATCTGCTGTCCGTCTTTTTGTTTCATTCTGCTCTCTTTTATCCTCGCTAAAAACGTCAATTATATAGATTTTTGGTATAAGCCGCATGTAACAGGACTTTCTTATTTTTTGTAATATCAACCGAATTGACTGCAAATGAATTAAAAGGGAGCTCTCAAAAGTATTTGAATACGGTCTCACTATCTGATAACGTTTTGTAGTATTTTTAATATCTAGCCAAGTGAATCGGCTGGGATTTAATATTTTGAATAAACATTCTCTTTTGCTCTACGACCATCCGATACATATTATATTTTATATTGTAAATAATTATTCCTTAAAATAAAAGTTTGAAAATTGTAGATCAGCAGTGGGATTCTCTAACCATTTTTGAGTTAGCGTTTGTCGGTTTATCGGTAATTTTGAAACCCATCTCTCGGTAGGTCTTAGCGACTACTTTTGATTTCGTCGCTAGATAACCGAAAAGTTTCGTTAATTACCGAAATTATAAGCATTTTAATTTTACCAACTTTTGTCGGTATCTCAAAAAAATAGTTAGAGAATTCCACTGCAGAAATGCAAAGACCAATTATTAAAAAGTATTTTTTTTCCTTTTGAAAAATGTGTTGCGCCTCACAAAATCGACTTAGCAATGTTTGTCTGGTGAAATCACATTTAAACCTCACATTTCGAAAACTTAAACGAGGCGTCCGCCAGACCACATCCCTGGCTCTGGTCATAACCTTTGGCATATTGCATTGCAAAAGTACATTTTATTTAACTTTTAATGGCCATAGATGTTGGAATCATATCTACATACATTTGAAACTGTAATCTTTTGGCTTGTACATGTTCCTGTTTGAGAAAGTAGTTCAATGGAATCTACGAAATATGCAGACTCTTGGACGCACACGCCACTTTAGGCCCCTCTACCGACATGCTATTCAAGTCATTCGTCCGTAGTTGGGTTTTTTCTTTCTTTCTTTTAAAATTAAAATTTGTGAAGCTGAAACTGAAGGTCGAGGCAAGTGTTTATTTTGCACCGGATACAGATATGCATGAAAGCGAAATTCGTCTATTCAACAAGAAGCAGCAGTGGCAGCTAAGCACTACACATACACACACACACATGCAAACATACGTTCACTTGAAAACGAACAACACAAACAAATGATTTATAACAAAAGTTTTTTGTTCCTTAGTCCTTGGGCAACGTCAATTACCCCACTAGTGCGATTTTAATCACAGACACGCCAAAGAGTGCGGCTCACATTCACCCTCTTCCCACCCGGTTTGTTTTTGTTTAGTTTTTCGTAGTTTGGTATTTGCTTTGTTCTCTGTCAAAGAAAGTTTTCTTTTTTGGGATTTCTTTTCTTGACAAAAGTTTATTTTATTGAGCGTTAAAGCATTCCTCAGCATTTGTCAATGAACTTTTCGAAAGCTCAGCCAGTTTGAGGGCAAGTTTTAAGTAATCATTTCATATTTATTTACACGCGTAGGCAGATAGATAGATTGCTTGGGGCGGTAATCTATTTTAGACAGGTAAGATTGCATTGCTCCCAGCCGGACAGGGCTTATTCACATGACAATATTTTATTGTATGACTTTGTATTTGCGAAGCCTGTTTGAAATTGTCGCAAGTAATGTCGTCGAATTGTCTCCGCTTAATTCAGGCCATAGGAAGTTGATGTCATTTTTGTGTCACCACTGGGTCTGGCCATTTTGTGCGTGACATTCATTCATTTGGCAATGCATTTTAATGACCCAATAGCCCAGTAAACATTGTTCTGTTCCTGGAATTGTTGGAAAGTTGGTAGGGTGGTTGTATTTCATCTTTACATGCCAAACCGGAAACCAAATTTTACACCTTCCATTGGATTGTTGGATACCACTATTGAGTTCCCTTAGTTTTTGGGTAATTGTTGTGGGGTTTGGAATTATTTCAAATATTTCCATGTGGTTCTTTCATTACAATACAGAAAGTTGTCATTGTGGAAGGCTGTTTCTTGTATTTTATTTATTAAATTATAAAACTTTGACCCCAGGATTTTTGAAATCCAGCTAATTGCAATTGTAATACGCTGTGTTGTTTTTTTTAATTCTTTCAAACAAAAACTTCCCTTCCAACACACAACAATTGCTTTGGCTCAATCAAATGCAAACATTAAAGTTTTATTTAATCAAACTAAAACTCATAAAGGCAGAAAAGAAATCCAAACATCCTTAACTGTTCCCCGAGGAGATTCGGAAAATGATCCTGTAAATGTTGTGAATCTAAACAGAAATTATGAAAAGTTATTTTGCCCCTCCTCTGTTCGCCTGAGGACAGAGAAGAGACAACATGTTCAAGTGTGTCCCCCAGGAAAGCAGATGTTACAATAAGCGTGCTTTATACGAACGTACGTATATACATATATATATAAGACTAAATTTGATTGTGTTTTTAATGATTATTTTTTTTGTAAACAATGGTTCTTTTTAAGAAGGTTATGAATATAAGACGCTAATTGTCAATGCTTTTTTTGGGGCAACTGACCGCTTAGAAAATACTCATGTTCATTTTTATTGAAATATACAGTTATGTTCATTGCTGAGAATGTTACTCTTAACTGCAAATTAACTGAATTTAGTTGTATACAGGGGGAAATGCATTTTACTTTATTAGCTTCTAACTGATGGAAAATTAAAGAAATTTATTTATGTGGTGTGAGAAGGAAAATTGGAAATCACCTACAAATAAAGGGTAATTTTTTAACATTTAAAGGAAAGTTTTTCGAAAAGAAAAATTCATATAATTCAGAAAAATGCATTTGCAATAGGAACGGGTTCGTCTGCGTAGACATGAGTTTTAGACTTCAATTGTGTAATCACGAGTTTTTTTCTGCTTTTGGTTCATTTCAAACCCTAAATATTTTGCGAAAGTAAGAGGCCCCACTGTATCTCCAAATTTAGACTCATCTATATGATTTGCTTATCTACGATATATGGCTATATTCGTCAACGAAATCAGCATAAAAAGCCAGAAGTTCTTCTTTTGTGTATGTCGGATATCGCCTGTAAGTAATGTTGGTAAGTCCTTAACTCCAACTTCATGCGAGA